CATACAATAATTTTTATACTAGTTCATCTCAACCACTAATACTATGTCCAGTTCTCAATCCAACTATATTAAGTTTCACTATCTTAAATAAGATACACGTATTCTTTCAACAAACCACTTTTGGTTCAAACCTAAGTGTTATTTGAATTATCTCTTCGAGCAATCTACCTAAATAATCTTTTCGCACAAAGTTTCTCCAAGCTTTAACACCAAGTATTTTTTTTTATATAGTCAAGCTCCTTTAGGCTCGATCAAATATTCTTTTACAGACAAACCTTTCTAAACTTAACCAAGTATTCTTTACAGACAAGCTTTTTCAAGTTCAACCTTATAACAATAGTTATATTTGAGTAAAGTTTTTACAGATATTGTTTCATCTTACAAACAAGACGTGATACAACTAATTAAGAACATAATTCTTTACAAAAAAAGGAATGAATAATAATTTTGTATAAAAGTTCTTATTTTTTATGATCTTGAAGCTTCTTATATAATAGTTTGGATGAAGATGATCGTTGCAAAACCTTGAGGGTTTTTTACAAGCTTGTTTCGTCTGTCTTCATTACAAGTTACTTGAGGTAAGACATGTCCGTTGGTGCATTAAATGTTTATATTAATTGCATTTCACCAAATTGTCATGTCTTATCTGATTAAGGATGTTACTTATTAGCTTCAGGATATCAAATGGGTTATCTGTGACATGTGTTAGCAAAGAGCACGTTCTACATTGACTTTTGTTAACTTTTTTTGTTGTTGTGATTTCAGGGTTGTCCTTGTTTCTTGTGAAAAACATAACCATTAACTTTAATAAATTTGTGAGTTCCAACAAGTTTTTTTTTTTTATATAAATTTGATCTATTAAGGAATCAATTAGTTATGCAACCAGTAGTCATTATTTATTATACATGATATGCATATAAGACTTTATGAAGTAAAACTGTATGTTTCATCTGATGACACATCATCTGTCTAATGTTTTGTTGTTATCATTAAAACTTGAAAGCTTAAAGGATCTAAGATTATTTTTTTGACTTAACACAATATTTTATTCGTTTTTTAATTAGTTAAAAAAATTAAAAGATTGCTAACTCAATATTTTGAGCCACAATAGTAGGTGTAACTTGGAAGGGTGTTTGTTAATTTGGATAATGTGATAAAATTGATGATCTTAATTGGTTTGTTTTTATTTTTTTTTATTTTTTTATTTTTTTGTAATAGGATCAAATTCAATCCAAACCAAATAAATTTTACCTTAATTGGTTTGTATCATGAATTTGCATTTTACAAATTTAGTAATAAAAAATAGAACTAATTATTTTTTTAAATATTTTTTTATTAATAAGTAAAACATATTAACACAACTCACTCGATGCTCTATCACCCACAAACCGACCTTCCACACCTACCATCGCTCAAGCTCAAGTTAAACAATTTTTGGTCATATATTTACCATATCTAGCGTATTTTCATTTAGTCATATATTTACCATATCTAGCGTCAGACGCTACACCCCTTCCTCCCACTCATCGACATTATATCATCTAGTACTTATTATTTGATTATGTTGGATTTCTTTAATTTCAAATATTTGACTATGTTAAGCTACTTTAACCTTATATTTTCCTACATTACTTTTTTATTTACACTCAAATACTATGTACACTCTTAATAATAATTTTATATCTAAATTTTGGGATGAAATCATTTTTTTAATTTTAAAAATATAGAAATCTACCAAACTTTTTTTTTAAAGCAATTAATCTGAACTGAACCAACTTATTGATCAATTTAGCTTGAATTATAGTTTTTTTTTAAAAATCCAATTTAAACTGAATCAATTAAAATTAAACAATTCAAATTTTATTTTATTCTAAATTCGAACCAAACCGTTCCATTAAAAAAAATGGGACCCTAATATGTATAAAAACTGATAAGACTAAACCCAACAAATTTATAAAGGCACCCTAGCAAGCACCAACTTTTTATTGTCACTTCACAGGAGTTGCATCCCTAGATGCTAAAGTTATGGTTCAAATCACATATCACGCTAAATCTTTGTTAGATTACGCTAGAGCTTTCCTGTAATACACACATTAAAGAAAAAAAAGAACAAAAGAATTGAAAGAGAACCAGACACATACAATGAAATTATTTTTCTCAACAAATATAATTTCACGACAAAAATACAATACAAGATAATTAGTGGACATCTCGTGTCTTCAATCTATGTTCACAAGTGCCTTGTAATCCATGATTATCTTTTCTTCAACCCACAAATACGTATTAAATAAGAAACGAATAAATAAAGCTTTACGGCTAAAGATCTTCTATTTTACTTCAGACATTTTACTTCGCCACTTGTATAAACTTTTATTATTGTTTTATTATAAAGAATAGTACAAATATGTAATAATCATTTACACGCATTGTGATTTTCTTTAAATTATTAACTTGAATTGGCGTTTATTGAAAAACTAAATTAATTTATTTTTGGAAAGGTAAGCCTTCCATGAGTTCCATTCGTGGTGTAACTATAGTCAAATAACACAAGGGACAAATTATCTTATTTGGAATTTATTTTTCACCTCTAATGATATTATGGGATAATCAAATGCATTTTTTTTTACTTTCTTGGACGTAATAAAAAGAGAAAATCCAAACCCCATTGAAATATGATCAAAATAAAAATATATAAATAAAAAATAATTTTCATTTACAAATCAATTTTATAAAATTAAATTAAACTTTAATTTATATTCTAAAACAATATTGAAGTCTATTTTAGATCAATTAAAAAAAGAAAAAGTTCCGCCATATTATACATACAATTTATTTCAATTAAAAATATAATAGAAGAAGAAAAAAAAGTATACAAGTATTACATACTTATCTCCTAGAATGAGGTAGACCTAAATTGATAATTTAAAATTTAAATATGAAATTCAAAATATCTATTTATGATAGTATTGTATCGACTAAATACACTTTATTAAATTGGTAAAAATTTATGAAATACAAGTTGATTATTTCCGGCTCTAAGATTTCAACAAGTAGCATGCAATTTCGGAATGAATTTTGTACCAAACCTGAATTCTTTACTCATAAAAATTGGAACGAGTTTAGGAAATGTTTTTCGGAGGTTGGTGATTTTGAATCATCAATTAGAAAGAAATGTATTAACAAATTTTGTTTTTAACCATCATTGTAGAACTATTCACTTTAGCTAAACAACAAAGGTAGAAGCATGGAAAGCACATTAATTAATTCATATTCATAGAAAACTTAAGATTTTGTGGGCTTCTTTCCGTGGTAGGTTACAACCGTTCAGAAAAGTCCGTTTCCGTTATACGCAGAAAGAGTGCTAAGAATAGCATAGCATTTTGATACAAACAAAGCCTATAATAACTATTAATTGCTAATTAGCAATTATCTTTGTGCTTTGGGTTAAACATTTATCTAATTGAAGACTTTCTTTGTGAGGACCCCTAACTTCTTTATTTTCTCCATGCGGAATAAAGACAACACATCCAAAGGACCCACACCCTATACTCCTTTTCCTAAAATAGTTCCATATATATAATCATTAAAGTAATAAATGATTAGAATCAAATAACATTGATCATTATTCATCATGTAGTTGGTGTATGTAGTACGGAATTGGATTTTTTTTTTGTTTTTTTAAAGTAAGGTCATGTTCAATGAAGTTGATGCAATAACATGGTTATTCAAAATTTAAAAAATTGCATTAAATTAGATAAATTAGTTATCAACAAAATAGATGTGAGAGAGATTTCATTAAAGGATTGTTTAGTAATTATTGAAAAATAAAATATTTTTAGAAAATATAGTTTATTGGGAGTTATTTTTATCCCATTTTTTTAAAAAAATATTCTCATGAGTAAGAATTAAACTACTTCAAGTTAGAGGAAAAAATTTATGTTAGTAAAATGATTAATTGATATTTTTTTATCCATTATCTCTTGAAAAATAAATATAAAAAGATATTCATTTTATAAATTAATTAAATAATTCATTAAGTATGTTATTTTTTGTATCACTTTTAATCATATTGTATTTCAAGTTTATGTATAAACTTTTAATAAATTATTTTATTATTATTATTATTATTTTTTATCACAAAATAGTTTATTGTTATTAGGTAAGAATTATTATTTATTTTTAATCACTTTTCTTGTTAATCTAATAATAAAAATTAGATAATTATATAATTTTTTTTTATATAAAATATGTTTTTTATAGTTATTTAAAATTTATAAATTATGAAATTGCATTACTAATTTTTGGTTATGATTTTTAACTTCTAAATTTAATAAATTATTTAAGCAAAATAATATTATATATGTTTTTTTACTGTTTTCTAATTTATTTATATTTTAATTTTAAATATTAATTTAATTATTATTATTATAATAAATTGTGAAAACTATATTTTATACTTTGATCTATTGTGATTTTACATATAATTTATATGTTAGGTTAATACCGTGTAAAGAAAAATAAACTAAATTTTTTATAAAGAACATTTTTATAAAAAATATTTATATAATCAATAAAATAATATTATAATAATTAAATATGAAAATTTTTATTTTTCAAAAATTCGATATTAATATTTTTATGAATTCTTATGAATAATTAAACAAATTTTCATATTTTTAAAAAATCATATGCTATTCTAAAAAATGATTATTCTTGAAGTTTGTAATTGAAAAATTTATTTTCTACTAAACACTCCTTAAAAATAACTAATCAGATTCTTTGATACATACTAATCATCAATAAAATAAATATATCAATACAAATATCATTATTATAAATATAAAAGTAATCATATAACGTTATCTTTCCATTTGTCACTAAATTCTGAAACGGCGTTATAAAATAACAAAACGAATAATTAATTAATTAGTTAATTAAAACAATTCATTCGGTAATTAAATTAATTATTAATTTAAAAAACGGGTTTTCCCACTCCCAGTGGCCAGAGCATATTAAACGTTATATGTGTCCGAAGAGAGTGTGAAAAAAGAGAAAGAGGCTCTTTTTTTTTTTTTTTTCTCTCTCTTTTGATACGGTGTGGTTGTGCCCATTGTCCTGTTTCGGTTTCTGTTTCCTTTCAGAGAAGAATCAAATCAATTCTTCACCGTCCGTATATTTCATTCAATTCACTTTCTTCGGTTTTTCTATTTTTTTCCCAAAAAAAAAAATCAAAACTTTGCTTTAAACGTGTAACCCCACCCTGAGATTTCGCCCCCAGAATCTTGATCCCTTTATCCAGAAACGGCCTTGTTGGTTTTTTTCTCATTGGGGTTGTTGTCGTTGTTGTTCATTGTTTGGGGAAAATGGCGTCGAGTATAGGCATAATGGATAGTGCGTACTTTGTCGGCAGAAATGAGATTCTGAATTGGATCAACAATCGCCTTCAACTTAATCTCACTCGCATTGAGGAGGTGACCCCTTTTCTTTTTGGTTCTTGTCAACGTTCAATGAAAGATAAAAACAAGAAAACTATTCTTTTATTATTTTTGCTAGAGAAGTGGGGTTTCTTTATTCCTTTCTCCCCCTCTTGATGGGTGTGTTTTTGATGTCATTATCTGAATGCCATGCCATTTTTTTTATCTGGTTGTTTATACTTCTAATTGTAATACATGCATGTGATTTTTTTTTCCTTCAAACATAATGGCATTTCCGATTTCTCTCTTATTAGGAAGATTGTTATCTCTGCTTTTTATTTTTTATTTGAAAAATAGAGTTCTTCAAAGAATTAGAATATGATTTTGCACTGAATTTTATTTTGAGTTACTTGTTAGAGTGGAGGCTCCTTAGAAGTTTTTGCGGGCTGTTGCGAAATTAAATAAAACTTTAAAGGATTATGCTGGAATCTGGGATATTAATTGAATGTGAATCAGTTGATTTGTGTACCAATGACAATTGTTTGATCTGTTTGTTGGATTTTTCGTGTTTGCATTGTGGATTTTGAAAGAAAATATTCAATTCAAGGATACTGGTTCAGTGTTTCTGTAATTTAGACGATTATTTGTTCGGTATGCTGTTTTTTTAATCCTTTTTAAATTTAATCCTTTTTTCCCATTTAATCCTTTTTTCCCCTAAAGTTTCTACAAATTGTTCAAAGGCTATGCAATATATACACTTTGCATGAATTTCAATAGATTTTTTGGACAATTAAGGATGCTGAGTAACATTTGTCGACTGCTAGTTCTAATGGTGTGTTAAAATGTGAACATCCCATGGGACTGCCATTGTTTTTGCATGAAGTTGTCTAATTTATTTTACTTTTCATTTTCTTTCGTCCCACTTTTTCTTCTAAAGAACAATTTTGGGGTACAAATTCTATTTCATTACTTGACAAAGGACATTATAATGACAGAAAAGATGATTAGTTAATGCTGTAGTAAATTGAGCCTATTGATTAATGATGAAAATCTATTTTTTTGGTTAATTCTTGCTTATTCCTTATGGTCTTGGCCAGGCTGCATCTGGTGCTGTGCAGTGCCAGATGATGGACATGACATATCCAGGGGTTGTTCCAATGCACAAGGTGGCAACATGACTTTGCTTTAACTTCTTTTATGCTCTTCTGATATTTTATTTCTATGAATAGTAATATTTTAAACTTGGAGTTTGTTCTAGGTGAATTTTGATGCAAAGACAGAGTATGATATGATCCAGAATTACAAAGTTCTACAGGATGTGTTCAACAAGCTCAAAATTGAAAAGGTACATGTTCTTCTCATCACGTTGTTATGCAGGGCACTTGCGAGAGTTTTGCTTTAGTGAATATGAAAGCAAGAAATAACAGTGGGATGACTTATAAAAATCTTTGTTGTAGTTTCAAATCAACCTATCTTCTTTATGATTTTAATTTATCAAGACACAGAAGTTCTAATGGAGCGGTAAATTTAATGGTTTGATTCTAAGTGTGTAGAAGAAAAAGACTTATATAGTGAGGAGGTGGCTTGTGGTGCAAGCTTGGCTAACTATGGTTCAAGGAGAACCATGGTTAGCCTTTTTACACTCAAACTAATCGGTCTAGTAACTTGGAAGCTTGTGGAAGTGGTCTAAAGGGCTCTAAGTGTCACTTGGACTTCCACCCTAGGAAATTCGAACTATCTTCTTTATGATTTTAATTTATCAAGAGACAGAAGTTCTAATGGAGGGATAAATTTAATGGTTTGATTCTGTTTAAATTCAACATTAGTGAGATTGATTTTTTTGTTCCCCTCTCCCCTTTCTCTGCCCCAATTTGCATCCTTATGCCTCTGCATTGCTGCTGGACTGCAATTTTTGTGGTGTTATCTTTCCGGCTTGGTTTACATTTTTAATTTATTGCTCAATCCCAGCTTCCTTACTTTCTTGGGCTATGCAATCCCTGTTATATTTGTTGCATAAATTTTATGCCCAGGTGTGAATGTTCCTCTTGATTTAACAGTGAAAATATTTCAGATTATAGCTTGAGATTGAAAATTCATATATACTCTGGCACAATCAATAGTTGATGTTTGCATTTATTGGGCTAACTTGATTACCATGTAGCAGCATATTGAAGTTGGCAGGCTTGTTAAAGGCAGACCTTTGGACAACTTGGAGTTCCTACAATGGCTGAAACGTTACTGTGATTCTATAAATGGAGGCATTATGAATGAGTATGCTTTGCCTTTTTGAGTTCTTTCCAATATATTACTTGTAAAAACACAAAATTTTATCATTTCTTATGGTAAATGTTCAATACATATGGAGTTTAAATACAATAGTGTTGATCTATTCTGCGATATAAAAAAGGGCCATGTACAATAATTTAAAAAAAATATTAAATAATAAAAAATTAAAACTAATGTCTTTTGAGTTTCTGAAAAGAAGGCTGTTTCAGTTGCTATGCACAGTGGCTATTCCTGAAGGCTTATAGTTATACACTCACTGAGTTGATTTCTTTAATCAAAATAGAAGAAAGATATTTAGGAACATGAGAAACTGATTCCCAGAACACGTGAAATGAGTTTGCATTTGTGTTATATATATATATATATATATATAT